AGTAAAAGAGGGAAGAATACTCCAAGACCAACCAAAATTAAAGCATCCTGTATTGAATTAGTGGTTGAGAAATTCTAAGGTTCTTTGCTCTAGGTCTTCTCCAATCTGGGCAGGCATTCCGTATTTAAATATAAACAAATAGGAAAAAAAAAAAAAAAAACTTTTGAGAATACAAGACAAAAGAGAAAGTATGTAGAAATTAAGTTCAATTCTGAGTCTCACTTGAATAAAAATTTTTCTAGCACAACTTTTGAAGTAGTTATTCAGCATAACCAAAGTCCTTTATACAGAACTCTCTCAAAAAATGCCAGTTATAACGATTTAGCATTTTACTTCTGTAACAAATTGAAACTTTTATCATTGAAGCTTACATTTTGCAGGGAGAGAAGGGAGGGGATGGAAAATAGAAACAATACAACTTAGGAAAAAAAAATGACCAAGAAGAAGTACTTTGTTGGGTTTAGTAATCACTTTTCACCAATTCCTTGCTATTGAAAAATGACCTCCCTCCCTGAGTTGCAAAGAGACAAAAAGATTATTTTTCTTAGCATTATAAAAACACTGATCCAAAAGGAATTAAAGTGTACTTCGATTGAAAAAAAATGTTATGTAACAAAGATTTATTTATTGCATGTTAAATATGTAAAAATTATAATACTGTTATTTTAAAAGTGAATGTCAATACCCATTGGAAGTAAAAAGATTTTTTTAAAAAAGCATCAAATATGACATGTGAAAATGTTTTGACACTACTTATTTTCAGGTTAACATGTACAAAAGTTAGCCCTAGAAATATTTGTTCCTTTTAATTTTAATACTTCCTCTTTTTGTATCCAATAACAACCAAAACTTCCCTTTGATAAATTTTATCATCTCGACTCAAAGTTAGACAATTATCTCTAACCCTTATGTCTCCATAAAAGCTTCCCTTAAAAAACTTTCCCCCAAACCCACTTTATTTTTTTACAAAACAATAAAACATTGAAGCTGTTTTCAAATACACCTTTCTACCTTTTGCTAACTCTTAACCTCCTTTTGTTATTTTCACACCTGTAGAAATTATACATGCTTATCAAATTTCATACTTTGTTTTCTTCCTCTAACTACAGTGCATTACTTTAATCTCCTCTTATAGAGATCATCTTGTCCAAAGCGAACCCTGACTTTTATTTCCCTCAAGTTCAAAAAAACATTAGCTACAAAAAAATGCACACAAGCATATGTTAATTTCCTCAGGGTTTGTTTCTAATTAAACTACATATATGATTTCAATTGAAAAATTTATTTCTTAATAGTATGCTCTTTTTTATATTATAGGTCATTATGTTTTGTTATGCTACTTAAAAAGGTTGTACATTCCCTTCCTTCTAATTCATTTACAGGAAGCTTTCAATTCACTTGTTTTCCTCTTCACACTTAAGTACCCAGTTTTCTACTCTACTCTCCTTACAGTTACAAAAATAATTCAGATTTTTGGTTACAGCTTCCCATAGTTGCGAAAGTATATTAATTTACTTGAGAAGACAAGTTATGATGCTTTAAAAAAATGTAGACCATCATACTTGAATTTAGACACTAAATTATTTAAATTCATGAAAATATTGAGTTCATTCAATATAGCTAATAACCAACAATAGTAATAAGTACAAAAATTTGAAAAATATTAAACAAAACATAATTAGAGTGCTTGTCTAGTATGTGCAAGCCTCTGGGTTCCATCTACAGTGCTGGAGAGAAAAACGAAAAACAAAAAACATAAGTACTAGAATTAGTTTTATCTGGTATTAACCAGGCATAAAATCACTATGAAGTAACTTTTTCATGAAAGTCCTAAAATATGTCCTACATTTCTACATTGTAAAAAAAAAGAGATTTATTATTTTTAATATTCCTTCCATTTCTAAATATCTGGGTTCTTTTAGATGTGCAATGTAATCTTAGTCCTGAATTCTATATCTACTATAGTGTAAACACCTACACCTACACCTACAAACACACACATACACACCCACCATGATAATATTTGTGTTAAGGAGAAACTTCAAGAAAAAAAAATTAAAGTGGGTGCAGTGGTGCAAGCCTGTAATCCCAGCACCTGGGGAGGCTGAGACAGGAGGATCGAAAATTCAAAGCCACCCTCAGCAACAGCAAGGCACTAGGCAACTCATTGAGACCCTGTGTCTAAATAAAATACAAAATGGGGCTGGAGATGTGACTTAGTGGTTGAGTGCCTCTGAGTTCAATCCCTCTCTGATACCAGAAAAAAAAAAAAAATAGCAGATAGGCATATTCATATATTGATAGTTGAAAAAAGGAACTGACATCCCTTCCCAAACATCATCTATCAAAAATTAGAATGAAGAAGCCCTTCAGATTCAATGTTTGCACTTCTAGGAACTAAGCCTAATGAATAACTTGCATATTTAGATTAATATGTTGAGAAAATGTATTACAACACTGGATATATAATATACAGTTCATACTTAACAAGTCCAGACCCAAATTCTTTTTATTTTGTTTTTGTGCAATGCTAGGGATTGAACTGAGGGCCTTGTGCATGCAAGGCAAGCACTCTACCAACTGAGCTATATCCCCAGTTGGCCAAACCCAGATTCTTTATTTCCACTCCCCACTCTGTTGTCCCTAGTCTTCAACATTCTGCTATTTTGTCCCAGTTGGTCACGCCAAATATAAAGGAGTCAGTATTCATTCCTCCTTCATAATAAATCCTTTTCCTCTAAAATATACTGTCAGTCATCCAGTAGATCTCTACCACTACCACCCCTGGCCCCCACTGTTTCTGTCACCAGAACTGCAGAAAAAACTCTCAAAGTGATTTCAAAGAAGATCAATGTGCTTTCCTGTGTAAACCTCACCATTTCAAGAAAAATTTAAACGCCACCCTGGTATCTATCTGCCTCTTCAAGTTCATCTCATGCTACATTCTTCCCTGCTGCTCTCAGGTCAGCCCAAACTGACAATTCCTAAAATCAGCCAGTCTTAGAGCTTTTCTCCAATATGGAAAGCATTTTTCAAGCTGGCCCTCCTTATCCAGTTATTATTACAATAGCCTTCTCTGCCCACCCATTTACCTGTTTGTACACTATGACTTCATACCGTGTGTCCTCTCTGTCTCTAACTTCAGTCTCCACTTACCTTGCTTATTCATTGTATATTTCTTCCCACTAGTACATAAAATCCAGATGGCATGGAACTGTTTTACTGCTGTTATCTCAGCACCATGTACAGCCCATACCAACAAATGTGTTGTATGATGGCAGAACAACATAAGGCCAACCTGAGTTTTTCTATTTCAATGATCTATTAAATCTGACCTACTATGATAATGAAAAATGCCGACGTGGTCAACAAGAATTTGGTGAAAACCTGATTAGTACACAATAATGTACTAAAAATTTATGATCTGGCTTCAGTAATCTTCTTAGCTTCATCTCCCAACCCCACCCCACCCCCACCCCACACCTTAACTTGTTGCCATTTCCCTTCAGGAAACATAAATTGTCCAGATTGGCTGTAATTCCAGTGTGTGTGGCAAGAGACAATACTGAGACTGCTGAAGACAGATCAAGCTTTGTATGGGAAGAAGTTTTTATGTTTAGTTTAGAAAATCAGAGACTTGTGCAAAGTTTATTTTAAGAACTAGAAGGGAGCTGATTAACTAGAAGAGTAAAGACCTAGAGGCAACACAGAGGTAACCACCTAAATGCCATAAACACAAAAACACTTTGCTATCATGCAATCAGTACCATGTGTTCCTGTGTGGCAGATCAAGCTTTAGATATCTCCTTACCATTGAGATTTTGAAAGGTGTTATACTACAGCCCATGCTACAATGCGGGCCTAGTTCCTGAAACTGCCCCCAGTGAAATTATGTCAAATTTGCCTAATGAAATTTGGTCCCATCTTAGATAATGACTAGAATCTTTTTCCACTGATAACACATTCTCCTTATCTTTCTTATTCATTTTAAAACACTCCCTATTCATCTGCTTGTATATTCTATTTTTACTTTAAAATGAAGTCTACTTACCTATTAAGTGCACTTTTTAAATCATAGCATATTTTATACTTTGTTATTGAGAACATGTTGCTATTTGTTATCATAATTGGGAAATGTGTCTTGGGAGCAATTAACATTTTTAATTTTTTAATTCTAACAAGCAAATATAAATATTTTAACTTTCAAAAATAACACCTATAGTTCAGCAGTTTCCAATTCTCCTTGTATTCTGAGACTTGTCCTCACTTACCTAATCCCTGAAGGTCTCTAAATTTGTAACCATCTGATTTTATTCCTCATAATTTTAATGTTTGCTATTAAATGTCCCAGAAAGGACATAAAAATGCTAACTTGAACTTTCATTAGCACATTCCTCCAGTTCTACCATAATTGTTTTTCCATTAAAAAAAAATGATTCTTTGGGAAAAAAAATTGAAATAATTAAATTTCCTTTCTGTGCCTGTGAAGAATGTATATCACCTAACTGAAGCAACCCTGTAGGTTGCCCGGAAGTTATGTCTCTAAACTGGAGAACAAAGAGCTAGTTTCAGTTCTTAGGAAAAGTCCTGCTCTTGTTAATGTTACCTCTCTTTGTCTCAAATCAGGAATCAACATGTTCCAGGCACAGAGCTGTAAGCACTGCATATAACAGCAGAGAAGGAAAAACTAGAGATTACAGAACCCCAGTGAGATCACAACACCTGCAGACAAACAGAACACTTGTTTTGAGGAGGACTGCATGTATATAGGTAATGAGAATCAAAGGATTAAAAACTCAGAGAACTACTGAAATGACAAGTAATGTACAGTCTGTCTCTGTAATTTTCTACCTTATACAAATTCACATGATGAAGTATGCAGTAAGCTCTGGAAAAGATTTAACCTTTTCCCCTCCGTAGAAGTAAATTACAAGAGTCAATGATCTGGTGTTGTACTACTTTCTGAAATCAAAACAAACAAAAACACAACAGAAACTTACCTTCATAAATGGACCCCAGTTGATATCGACCACTAAAAAACTGTGGCAAGGAAAATACAAGTGCCCCCAGTCCTATCATAAAGGATGCAAATGCAAGCCATCTGGGCTTGTGTCCTCTTTCACCAAAGAATGATACAAATAATGACAATAAACAGAAGGCAATATCGTAGCTTGATGATATCAGGCCAGTCAGGGAACTCTTCATCTCATAGCGCTTCTCAATAGTGGATATGCTGATATTTACTAGGCCATTTACAACAACACCTAAAAAAGAGAAAAGGAAATTTAAGTGGATTACGCTAAGTTTACTACATAGGATATGATTATTAACACAATCTACTAAAAAGTTTGGCTTTTTTGTTGTTTTTAAAAGTGTCAATTTTAAAGTTCTCAAAGTTTCAAAGATAGGCAACCTGAACATACTTCCTCGAAAATCAGTTTGCCTTTTAAATTGTATACTTGCGAATTTTCAGGTGCCCAACAAAACTGATGCTTGCCACATACTAAACTGCAGTTAATTGGCCTTAATTCATTTTCCTTTAAGTGATAAATAAAAGTCAGACTGATAGAGTCCCATGAAGTCGGTTTGCCAGTTGTCAAGTGTTCTGTACTTAAAAAGACCTAAGAGTACAGAGTGTACAAGTGACCCTAAAGGCCTTAAAGTAATGCTCAATTGCTTCCTGAGACCTAACATACTTATCTATCACAACAGCTCACCTTGAGTTTTAAGAAGAGGAAATTAAGCTCTCAAACCTCTTTTTATTTTTTTCTAAAACTTATATGGATATTGAATATATCATTTAAAAGGTTATAGCGAAAAAAAAAATGAGTTGAGTTTTATTTCAACCACTAGCATTCTAAATCATATGCACTGTAGAAAAAGAAAAAAAGAATTTCCTCTGCTTATTATAAATATAATGAAGGACTACAAGATAAACAAAGATTGGAAAACCCAACTTTGACTGATTTAAGTGTCCTGCCCAGGTATAGATGAAATTTACAAGAGTTTAAACATTAGCATAAATTGAAAATTAAAAGCGCCTGTTCAAATTTTAACTAGTTATGTATTTTAGTTAAGTATCAAGAACTGTTTTCATTATTAATTAATACAATGAGTTTACACATGGCAAAATCTTTAACATCTCTTTAAATGTTGCTGTATCAAGACTTTAATTAAAAATTATTTCAAGAAAATTGAAATTGCAGCTTTCAAATGTGTTAATATGGTTTTTACTCTTATGCCAGTTTAATAAGACTTTAACAATTTCTGAGATTTCAAGATAAAATATCTGAAGTACCTAGGAAAGGACAATTTGGAAAGCAGTATGGAGATTCCTGGGAAAGCTGGGAATGGATCCACCATTTGACCCAGCTATCGCCCTTCTTGGACTATTCCCTGAGGATCTTAAAAGAGCTTACTATAGGGATACTGCCACATCAATGATCATAGTGGCACAATTCACAATAGCTAGACATTGGAACCAACCTAGATGCCCTTCAATAGATGAATGGATTAAAAAAAAAAAAAAATGTGGCATCTATACACAATGGAGTATTACGCAGCACTAAAAAATGACAAAATCATAGAATTTGCAGGGAAATGGATGGCATTAGAGCA